CCCCCCCCCCCCAAACACTAGTCAAACAAAAGTTAAATAATCAATCTGGTCAATTTAGTCAAATAAACATCAAATCATACTTTTAAATTAATATTAATATATTTATATCTCAATAAATTACAATACCGTATAAGAGTTAAAATAATTCTGTGCTGTTTGTAGTGCAGTTTTAGTGCACTTTTCATAAACAATTAAATTATCTTACGTTTAATTTAGCATTTTTAATAATTAGTTGTATATATTGTATATTAATATAGTTTTAAATGTTAAGCTTTTTAAGCGTTTTATTTATCAAATCTTAAATAAATTTTATATTTGTTTATCAAAAAACAAAATATATATTATTTTTATTTGTTAGTTGTTTTGATTAAATAATTTATTTTTATTGATAATTGTTATAGTTTTAGAATAATTGTTAACTTATTGAATATAAAACTAATCAAATTGTTAAGACATCTCATAAATCTAATTTGAATTGTTATTATGATTACAATTATTATTAAAACCAATAGATTTTGAAAATATGATTACATTTGAGTCGATTCTGCAATTCTTTCAAAGAAAGAACATTTTGTGTAAAAACAATAACTTTTACAATAATTATAATTCTATTCAATATAAAAATTGATGTTAGAGTTATCATACATTTGTTATTATTATTTGATTATTATATGAAAAATTATTTTCAAAAATAAAAACTTCGATAAGAAAACGAATTAATGATTTATTTATTTAACTTTCAAAATGCTTAGCCTATGAAATGATATGCTGTTAATGTTTTATACCAAATCATATCAAATGGTAAGTATTAACGCCTTATATGAGATCAAAGGTTTATCAATCGAAAGTATATTTCTTAATGAATGTTTGCAATCAATGCCTAAACTATCTGTTCATTCAATACCTGGTGTTTGAAATAACCGAATATTGTTATCATTGTTAACGTCATCACTATTTTATCGCACTTTACAAAAACAACACCAATTGATTACAGTTTAACGAATCTAATTAATTTGCAAATCCTTTTAATAAGCATTTAGTTTATCATATTCTCTAATGTAATCACAATTACTATATACTATGTACTATATATAATAAGAATGTATAATTATATGATCCAAGTCTGACAAGTGGTGACAACTTGTTTCAAATCATTCACACTATTCAATAGTATCGCAACACTACTGTAATAACACAACTAGGGATAAAAATTTCAGTGAAATGTTCATATCAACATTGCATGTAGGCTAAATATTGAAATTTTGGGCTAAAATGTGAAATCTTCACATGCTTTTTAATTAGATACTTTTAATGTGGTGAAATATATAAACATCAAACTAATTGAAACATTTTCCATTAAAATTAATTACGAAAATTATGTTGGTTATTAAAGATTCTTTCAAATTCTGTGATATATTCTGTAAATATTTTACGTAAAGTATGAAATAATATTTATATTATAAAGTCTATACTACAAAATAATAATGCATTTACGACTAATTAAGTATTCTGTGAAGTATTTCTACAACACTCACTATATTGAGGATAATTGAATGATTCAATTGATGGCACTTCACATCCAAGTTGTACAGTAGTACTGGTCGTACAGTGTGTTCAACACCTCTACTGTGCGTCCGTTACGTAATCGTATGGAAAACGTGTGTTTGTTTTGAATTGAGTGATGAGTTCTTCGCATACTTTGTATCAAATGTTGGATTCATTTGATTTGAATGCAATCTTTTCACTCATTGGTATCACTTTGTCCTCAATTATTGTCTATAAATATGTGTTCAAATCCAAAGACCAGCACTTCTTTAGCCACGAAAACACTTGTGAAGCAAATGAATGCCAAACGAAATGCCGGCCAAAGACATGCCGTATATTATATGCCACACAAACGGGGACTTCAAGACAATTGTCACTACAATTGGACTCATTCTTAAGGCACACATTAAGCCAAGACATTGACCACAAGAAGATGACCATCTCTTTGAATGCCATCAATGAATACGAACCCGAAGACAGTCTTGTGTCGGACGCCAACAATAATGCTATCATTATAATAGTGATGTCCACCTATTCCTCTGGTAGTCCTCCATCTGATGGCAAGTGGTTTTGTCAATGGCTTCAAGACTTTTCTAATGATTTTCGAGTCGATAAGTCTTCACTCAAAGGCTTGAGTTTCGCCATCTTTGGTGTCGGCGATAAGGCTTACGGCCAACACTTCTGTCGTATATCACAAGACATGGACCGATGGCTCAAACAATTGGAAGCGACTCCTATTGTGTCGACACAGCTCTCAGATATTAGCGATTCTTCCGGTTTTGACAAACAATTCAAACAATGGATGAATGAGTTATCGTTAAAATTGTCGAATAATTCATTGACTGAATCCAAAACTTATTCTGAAGACACGAAAGAAGACGTGGAAGAAGACGAACCCAACGATAATAGGACTAAAATAGTGGACATCGAAGACATTGTGAACAAGTCATCAAAGGAGAAGATGTCGTCAAATGGGATCATAAAAGACATGATTACTCCTGAACTGCGAAAAGAGTTGACAAAACAGGGCTATCGACTGATTGGCAGTCATTCTGGTGTCAAACTCTGTCGTTGGACTAAATCAATGCTCAGAGGAAGAGGTCTCGTATAATGAGTTCATTTTTGCGTTTATTAATTGAAAGCAATGTTTAGGCGGTTGTTATAAACACAGCTTTTACGGGATTGAGTCCCACCGCTGTATGGAAACCACTCCGAGCCTCGCCTGCGCTAACAAATGTGTATTTTGTTGGAGACATCACACAAATCCTGTGGGAACCGAATGGAAGTGGTCTTTAGACGATCCCGAACTGGTCTTTGCCGGCGCTCTCTCTAATCACTACCAAATGATCAATGAATTCAAAGGCGTTCCTGGAGTTCAGACTCAACGACTTAATGTAAACGATAATTGATACTATTATATGTAATAATTATTATTTTGTATACATTTGTCAACAAATGTTTGTTATTTTAAATTAGGAGGCGATGAAAGTGAGACACTGTGCGCTCTCACTGGTGGGCGAACCCATTATGTATCCGCATATTAACAGTTTTGTCCGAATGCTTCACAACAAACAAATATCGACTTTTTTAGTAACGAACGCTCAGTTTCCCGATGCCATCAAACAGTGAGCATATAATGATTTGAAGACAATCTATAGTATATCTAAAACAAGATTTTTGTCCACAGATTAGATCCGGTGACACAACTGTATGTTTCAGTTGACGCCAGTTCTAAACAGAGTCTTAAGCGTATCGATCGGCCCTTATTTAGAGACTTTTGGGAACGATTCACAGATAGTTTGTGTTCTCTTTCAGCTAAAGGCCAGAGAACTGTCTATCGACTAACTCTTGTGAAGTCATGGAATGTCGAAGAACTTGAAGGCTATGCATATCTGGTAGGTCTGGGGAACCCAGACTTCATTGAGATCAAGGGAGTGACGTATTGTGGGACCGGTAAAGACACTCAGCTAACTATGGCTAACGTTCCCTTTCATGAGGAAGTGCTCAACTTCTCGCGTGATTTACTCAAACATTTGAACAGCAGTTGCGAATCAGAAGGCAATGTCAAGTATGGGCTGTCGTGTGAACACAAACACTCCAATTGTGTGCTCATTGCGTCCACAAAGTTCTTGATTGACAATCGATGGCACACTTGGATTGATTACGATATGTTTGCCCGACTTATCGACGAGTATTACCGAAGCGAAGGCACCAAAACCTTTTCATCGCTCGATTACATAGCGTTGACCCCCGAGTGGGCTCTCGTCGGCTCAGATGAGAGGGGTTTCGATCCAAACGACACTCGCTTTTATAGGAATCGCAAAAATGCAGCACAACTTGAGTCCTAAACTTAAGCGTAACTGTAGTGCAAACCATGTATTGTTTCAAGCATTTCAATGTCTCTATTCGTAAAACACCTCTACTTTTGAACCCAATTTTGCATCAAATGTTTGTTTTTGTATTTTGAATGAAAAGTCGTATTAAATATAAAAGCATTAAATAATTGAATAATTGATTGAATTATAAATTGAGTGATTGTTTTGTGGGAAGCGATGAGCGATAGAGCCATTGGTTTAATGGATGTGTGGTTTTGTTGCCAAAGATGTTGTCAACCGTTGAAAATGAACTCCACTTTGAATACAATCGATGAGCAGATAATCTGTGAATTGAATTCAGACATCAATTCAAACACCAATCGTATCGATCAGAAGGCGTTCAAAGATGTCCACAAGAATGTCATCTACAAAGTGGTGCCTCCGATGGCCAACGACTCAACCAATGGTAACGGTTTTATTGTCATCGAGGAGTCCGACGGCTCTTCGCCACCAACGCCTGTGTCTTCCGGTTCTGACCACAAGATTACCGATGGTTTCGGTTTTACTTCAACTCAGAAACTGTCACAAGAGATGAGACGATTGCGACAATTGTTTGACATACTGTCGGATCAGTCGGATGTGGACCACCCGTTGTGTGAAGAGTGCGCTGACTTTGTGATCGACCAAATGGACCATCAATTGAGACAATTGGAGGACGAGAGCAAAGAGTACAACGATTATCTCAATTTGATTCAATCGGAACAGAGTGTTGACCCAAATGTGAATGAATCGGAAATCTGTGAACTGACCGAACGGTTCAAGTCTTTGGAGACCATTGAGAAGCAGTTGACACAAGAACTCAATGAAGTGAAGGAACAGCAAAAGAAAGCCAACGAAGATATTGACAAACAATCGCACGAATTGAAGAGACTTTATGAGGAGGAGGACAAATATTGGCACGAATACAACAACATTAGACACCAGATCTTCATCTGCGAAGACGAACAGCAAAGTGTTGACAATCAGTTGCGTTACGCGCAGAACCTCTTCGACAAACTCAAGAGGACTAATGTCTTTAACGCAACATTTCATATATGGTATGATATAATGATTGTATGAATGCGTGTAATGAATATACGAGTAATGATAGGCACAGCGGACCCTTTGGTACTATCAATAACTTTAGACTCGGAAGACTACCGACGGTTCCGGTGGAGTGGGGAGAGATCAACGCGGCGTGGGGTCAGTCCGCTCTACTTCTGTACTCATTGGCCAACAAAATGAACTTTACATTCAAAAAGTACAAAATAGTTCCGTACGGAAACCACTCATTCTTAGAGTCTCTGGAGGACAGATCGCGTGAACTACCGCTGTATTTATCAAACCCATAGCCTGTTGATGACGATTATAATAATGAATGGTTTGTACGTTGACTGACAGGTATGCTTCGGGAGGAATACGGTATTTCTGGAACAACAAGTTTGACAACGCAATGGTGGCGTTCCTCGACTGTCTCACACAATTCAAACAACACATCCAAACACAGGACTCGGAGTTTGTATTGCCCTATAAGTGAGTGTTGAACGAGTGTTTGTTTGCCATTCATTGCATATCTTATAATGTTTAGAATGGAAAAGGAAACCATCGAAGAGACTAACATTGGCGCCAAATACTCTATAAAGTGAGTTATTTTGGCTCAATTATGATTTTAATATCAATTATTAATTACTGTCTAATTATGCGATAAAGGATTCAGTTTAACACAGAAGAGCAATGGACTAAAGCATTGAAATTTATGTTAACTAACTTAAAGTGGGCGCTGGCGTGGGTCTCAGCCCAGTTCCTCAATAATCAGTCCGTAGTATAAATGGCTATTAAATGTTTGCATAAATCTATTTATAAGATATAATTGTATTATTCATTAAATAATTATATTTATATTAAAGTCATATTTGATTGAATTTACGTTATTATAACTTAATTTTAAAGATGATATTGTATTTGTTATGATTTGATTTAACTGTAGATATTAAATATATTTCATTCCTTATGTACAATGAAATAAATGCTTAAATATCAACACTATTTACAATGAATTGCAATGAATTGTTGTCTATTATTATAAACAACTATGTATTTTGCGTTTGACTTTGCATTTCTCACATGTGACAGAACAACACCACATGAATTTGCACCGACAGTTGACCACTTCAGCTTTGATGACAGTCTTATAGCCACGACCACAGCAAAGCAGATCACATCCATCGGTTGCGATACTCTTATTACAGACGCGTCCCTTCGTTCCCAACGATCCCGTCTGTGTATTGGGTTCGCAGAAGTCTGGCGTCTCCTCTGAATAGATGATGTCTTCCTTTTCCGGTGGTTTAATAGTGATTCCCTCAGTGATGAAACCCTTGCCATCGTTGCCGGCCATCACTTTGATCGCGCCGTCAAATCTCTCTTTAAGTCGATTCCCAACATCTCTAAAAAGTGGTAATTTTCTCCAACAAGTCTTGAAACTACACGAACCACTCATTCCATGGCATTTACATTCATTTCTCATATTATTCTTCACAGCCTTTCGTTGAAATAAGAAACACAAATTAATTGTTAATCATTTAAGTTGTGTTAACTCACAAGCCTTCCGGCCTCATAGTTATGAAGGAGTACTAATTTCTTGATATCACTTCTTCGCGGGAATCCTTCGTCCATAAATTGTTTGGTTGTTTTATATCCTAAGTTTATATTCTCTGTACAACCCCTCCAATCAAAATCACTTTTTGAGCACGAAATCAGCCCCTAATCAAACATTTTTGAACATTAATATAACTAATTAATAAACAAAATTGTGACAACACGTGTGATAAGTAGTACAAACTTTTGTGATCTCGTAGAGAATGGCAGCCGAAGTGATCGCGTGAACAAACGCTGTTTCTCTGGAATCTGAGTAGAAAAACATTGAATATTTACGAAATGAAATGACAGTGAACTCAATTTACCTCTTAATAAAAAGTTGCGAATCGCAGGTTTGGCTGTCGTACAGTTCCACTTGCGATCTTTGAACTGATTCTGGCACTCATTTATGCCTAATTTGGCGCCCCTTTTAATCTTGTCAATAAAGTCGGGCTCATTCTTGCAGAGAATCAGTTGTTTTCCTCGAAGACGCTTCACTTTTGAACAGATATGGTTTGGATCTACTATTAGTTGCCTTCCCATTGCCCTATAATTAGCACAATAGTTAACATATTGTTGTATTTTAAAAAATATTGTCTCTGTAGACAATTTCGTAAAACTAATTTAATTTATACTCTATATATCTATTATTGGAAATATTTTTGATTTTATTAAGAGTACTTTAAATATTTGTATTGAAAATATGAATAGAATAAGAATTTTTGAATTTCAAGAACTAAAAAGTTTAATATTGTTTTACTGTAATTCATAAGAATGTTAGTTATATCCAGTTTGGAAAACTACCACAAAATGTATAATTCATTGTTTTGATGTTAGAAATAATTTGTCAATGTGTTAATTAATAGTTATTCTCTCAAATAAATGAAATGCTAATTTAAACATTTTGAAATTTTGTTCTGAAATCAATTATTATATTAAATCAGTAATACTTTACTTAATTAGTATTATATTAATAGTTGTATTTGAGTTATAAATAATTTATAATTAGACCATCTTTTTTTTGACTATCAATTTAGTTGACTCAATAGTCAAACATGTGGTAATGCTATCGTAAGTATTTTTGTCATAAAATATATAATCAAAACTCAATTACCGGCGTTTTTACTTATAAACAATCGTAAAATTTTGTGTTCAATGAATTATAAGATAAACGTAACCAACTATTTACTAAATGAGTGCTTTTTAATTAACTTTCTCTCTTTATTGATAGATAAGTAGTCGGAAATGAAATACTTCTGTACGACTGATCCGATCTTTTCATTATCTTTATTATAAGTTTATTCGCGTGAATGTATAAAATGGTTTATTCGTGTAATGCATTCATAAGTGAATCATAATGTATTTCTACTATTCATATTATCATTCAAAATCATAAAAAATTAGTTTTCAAATATTTTGAAGTATAAAAAAATTTTGATATATAATATTTAACACCTTTGTATTTACAAGTATACAAATAAACTTTTAATATAAAAATGATATTTTTCCCAATTTAAGTCAAAATATTGCTTAATATTTGTTTAATATTTTTGATAAAATACTACCGAAAATTTTATTAAATAAATAATTTAGCAAAAATAACAATTAGATTGGGATTAGCCTAAATTAAATACAATAATTAATCAAACATAATGATTGGAAATAAAAATATCTAATATGTATTGTGTTATTGAAAGTGGTGTTGAATTTGACAAAATATTCAATTATATCTCTAATGGTATTGTTTGTATTTATCAAATCTCAATTCATAGCATTATATATCTTTTGTTATATTCAAAAGTCACATCTTAATAGAAACAAGCAATGAATAGTCGAGTGTTTTATGATTAAAAAGCAAAACAATTGAAACAAAAGTTTCAACAATTGTCCAAATAATAATAAGTGCTTTTTATTGTTATTACATTTAATACTAATCTAATACTTGATATTACAATAAAGATTCATTATTAAGAAGATTATTAGTAAAATGTTAACATTATTAAGATTATAACATTGAATTGAAAACTTGATTACAATTAATTAATTTCAAATTTAATTTTAAAATACTCACCACAAATGTGCTGAACTTATTTGACACGTAATCTCTAATAACATCCAAATTATTGTTATTATTAAATATTTTTCCATTACTTTATGTA